TCAGCTAGAGACAGAGATTTGTTGTCTTGGAGAGACATTGGGCACAAAAGCCTTGAAAAGAACATCCTTAGAATAAACACTAGCTTAAATCCAGTTTTATTAAAAAAACTGTTCAAAGCAAAGATGATCTCATATCACTTAACAGAGAAAATAGATAAGTACCATCATACTGTCAGAACAGATTTAAAATTTCCATCTTAACTTTTTGGTCTCACGTGACCCTTTGTACATTTTACATCAGTTGTCAGGACTCTCCAGAGTCTTATAATCACATAACCCATCAGTGGTTTAATTCTAGGAGTTTGTGACCAAAGACTGCTTGAAATGACCAATGTTTTCTCATTCTCTTGTGACTGCTGTTCAAAATAATGACGGCACTGAGCCGCGAGGTTATAAAACGTCACTCACAGCTCAAATTAAAAAGGACAACTTTGGTCTTTTGTAATCACAGAGCTCATTATGGATTATTCCCTCTAATATTATGAGATTGTCATGTTATTTTTTCAATGATGCACACACACACACACACACACACACACACACACACACACTCAGCAGCTAAATGCTGTAGTTTTAACATTATCATATAGATGACTTACTCTTTGAAAGATAGAAAGGGTTGATCAACTTTATAATGAAATATACAAATTAGCAATAGGATGTTAAATTCCAAGCACACATCAAGGAAAAGATCCCAGTATCCGTTTCTCCTTGAATGTTCTTCTGCTTATCCAAGCTTGGGTTGCAAAGATAATTCCAGGAGAAAAACCAAGACATTCCTCTCCACAACAACCCTGTCCAGCTCCTCCTGCAGATTCCCGGACTTGCCTACAAAACCTCCTGTGGGAGGTGATCAAGATGCGTCCTAATCGCTGAACAATCTCATCTGAATCATTTTGATAGCAGCATCTTCTCTGAACTCCCCCTGAAACACAAAGCTAATGACCTTATCACCGAGACCAGTCACCCAACAGAGGATGCTCATTTCAACCTCCTGGATCCAAGATGGGTTTTTTTCTTTCCACATTTCATAACTACAAGTGTGGGATTGGGAAAAGCTGGACCAATACATCCAAAGTTTAGTCTTTCTGCTCAGGTCCTTCACCACTACAGAAAATTAAAGAAGAACTGATTTTTTGACCCATTTCAGCCTTCATTCTACCATCACTCACTAACAAGACACAGATTCTGCAACTCCTCCACGTGAGGCAAAGACTCAGTCCCAGCCGTCTCAGCGCCTTTGGCAACATAGTGGATAAACTTGAGCTCAAAGTAGCATGTGATCAACAAGTTCTGATTAGCCGGTCTGATATGAGTTTGTGACGTCAAAAAGGGTCAATTTTTCACCGTCTACATAGACCAACATAGTGACGTTTCATCTACAGAAATAAATCCACTCTATTTTCTATTTGGCCTTCCAAAGCCAGAAGGCTCAGTGCGTGTTTACATACATGAAGTCCTAACAAACATTCTCACCCAAGGTTCCTGCGCTCTCTGCATGAAAGCCAGCCGTCAACATTCTTCTCTCTGAATAAATGAAGACTCCATGATTTTACACTTATAAGTTAAATAATCATATGTGATTAATGAACAAGATGTTTAAATGAAATGTTTGAATAATCTGTGCTTAAATCAATCAATTTAAAATGAATATTGTTCTTACAATGATCCATTCATATCTCAAATCAGAATGTGTTGATATAACAAGTTAATCGTTGTTTACACTCATACACATTACAAAAAGTAATTCATTAAGGTTAATATTCACCTCATATAAGAGTTTTAAAGATTTTTATTCACAGAAATCTTTGTATCTGAGGAGGGCGTGTCTCTCTGAGGGATGTTTCTGAGGGCGTGGCTTTCTGAGGGATGTTTCTGAGGGCGTGGCTTTCTGAGGGATGTTTCTGAGGGCGTGGCTTTCTGAGGGATGTTTCTGAGGGCGTGGCTTTCTGAGGGATGTTTTGGTAAAGCCTTCCAGACATGGCACATTCTGATTTGCCAGAATACGCCAGAAATTATAAATAATGAGTTAATTAAAACATGATTTACTTCCCAAGTAATTCAGTTTCCAGCTGACTCCCGTTTTGGCCAAATTGGGAAAGAAGCCTCTTTTCAAACAATCTCCTTTGACCTCCTGTCAAAGCCGCTCTGCAACGCTGCAGCTGATACCAAACAATCGGCTCTTCTAAGAGCCAAGAAAACATCAACCTTAGACGCAAATAAGCATTCCAGCTTCCTGCCTTCACCTGGAGGGATCTCAGACTGGACGGGTCCTATCTGTCATGTATAAATTATTAGTTTAGGAACAAGAATTAAATTTATTTTATAAACTATATACTGACTCTGACTGAATTAATACGAAGTGTGTTCATGGTCCCTAAAGAAGTAAAGAACCCTAGAATCTTCTGATTAAACATTCAAAGATCGATCAGATTGATATTTCATATTATATGGAATCATCACATCTTATTGGTCATAATTAATAAATGTATTCCACTACAAGTTCATTCATTTATTTCCTCACCTGTTTTTTTCCACCCTCTGCCTTTTTCATTTGCAGTTACCTAAATTGTCTTATGTTGTTTGTTAGGACTCCAGGGTCCTGTTGCTAAAGTGCTATTGACTTAATGTGTAGGGGAAAAACAACAAGATGCCTTGAGGTTAGCATAGAGCATAGGAGTGAGGAGACGTTTGTCTCTGCAAGGCGAATTAGCTACGTGCACCTAGTGCATGTCTGCTTCAGCACACCTGATTTACATACTTGTATTGCCTCCTCAGGAGGACATCAAGTGCTGCAGATGCCTGTTAATCCCTCATTCATGTAGGTCAGGTGTGTGGCAGCAGGAACACATGCAGAGCAGGGGTCCTGAAGACTGGAATTAAACATTGACCGGGCGGGAGCGAGAGGACATACCAGCTTTCTGATGTCCGGGGAGAGGACACAGCTTGAATGCACACTGAATGATCCATTTATTTTCTTTCTGCTTGACATTTTCCTCACCCCCCTGCTGCCTCGCCACTGAGGGTCTGCCTGGATTGAATGGAGTTGTTCTTCAACTGCTTAGACTCATAAAGATGTGTTAACTTGCCAGTGAATATGATGTAATTGGTTCTAAAGGGTGTGTGCTAGGCTCTCAGATCCTGATCTCAGTTCTTAAAGAGGTCCTTCACTCATATTTTAATACATTTGCAGGGGTCTGGTAGGAATGAAAGCATTGTGAGCTGTACTCTGAGGGAAAAAGCTCCAGTGAGCCTGTTTGAGCACGGAGAACTCCATCAGAGGAGAAAGTACCTTCAGACGGCAGGATTTGGAATCTTATTTCCTGATATTTGGACATCTCTCCTCTGATTGGCTAACAGCAACACGACTCTGCCACTGACTGCTCTGCAGCGTTGGTGTTTTATCTCCATAAATAACACAAGCCTGCAGGAGTTATTTTAAGCCTTATTTAACCAGATGAGTTGATTATGAACTCATTCTTGGGCTGCATGGTGGCGCAGTGGTTAGCACTGTTGCCTCGCAGCACGAAGGTTGCAGGTTCGAAACTCGGCTGCAGCCTTTCTGCTTGGAGTTGCGTGTTCTCCCCATGCATGCGTGGGTTTCCTCCGGGTACTCCGGTGTCCCCCACAGATCACAACATGCCCTACAGGTTATAAATTGTAAGTCGCTTTGGATAAAAGCGTCTGCTAAGTGAATAGACATAAGCATTCTCATATACAGTGTCGATCTGGCAAAGAGGCAGGAGAGAAATAATTAGCTTCACACCAAAGAACAACAGATAAGATAAAAACAAACAAGTTAAAAGTAAGATAAGAACAGTTGAACAAAAAGTCAAAGTACTGTTCTCATATATGTACAAGCAATCAAAGCAGACTTTAAACAGTCTTTAAGCACTCAGAAGTTCCGCTGTGTGGTGGCGGAGTTGCTAATGCTAACAGTTAGCTACTGCTTTGCCCTTTCCTGATGCTAAACCAACAACAGCCTTCCCTGTCATGAGTCAAGGTGGGTGAGTCCATGAACGTGAAGTGACAGAGGGACGTAGATCTGTCTGACTGGAGTTTATTTTCTATCAGAAGCTTCTGATGGGGAAAGGTGTTGGAGACTATCTTCTCATTCAGCCTGAACGTTAAACTCAGAGGGGCTCATCCTCTTCAAAATAATAAGTTAAAAATTGGTTTCTCGGTGAAGGACCGCTTGAATGTTTTGTTCACATTTTACTTTAAAAAATACAGAAAATGTTTCAGTGAGCAGAGTCTGACGTTGATGCTTGCTCGTACAAATGTACAGACTGGAATACTTTTCTTTTACAAGAAGCTTAAAGTCCACGGTTGGTCCCTCTGACCACCACCAGCTGGCAGGGAGGGTTACGTGTCTTGTCCAAGGACACAACAGCAGACTTTCCCTGTAGGGAGCTGGGATCGATCCGGCAACCCTCCGATTACTGGACAATCCATTCCAGAGCTACTGCTGCCTCTAAATAAACAAATAAATATGGAGCCAGGTGTCACAACCCTTAGTCAGAAGAAGGACATTAAAACAGATTAATTTAAGATGTGGAGCAAATTGCAGCATTTTTGCCTACCTGTGTTCACCTGATCAAGTCTTTGATTTGGTCACATTAGCATGTGCTTCTCCCCGACCCAAGTGGTGCATTCCTGACTTTGTAAACTGCTTTAGGTTCAGCAACATTCCTTCGCTGTTTCTCTTATCTCTGGGTGGCAGTAGCTCTGGTACTACTTTGGAGTAAAACCTACGTTTGACTTGCACTAAACTTGATGCTAAGGGGAAAGATGAAGTGTTTACGTGCCAGGTCCAAACCACCTGGTTTAAGTAAAGTTTGAATGTTTTTTTCTCCCATTTCTCAAAAAAAAAAGCAGACCATGTTTAAAAAACTGCGGTTTCACTTACATTTATTCATCTTTTGTGACGTTTTAATTGTTTCTAAAACGATTTTGCAGAACAGGAGAAATCATGAATTTATGTGCTTCTTTTTTCCTAGGGTTGTCCACAACTACATGCTGTGGCGCATTGTGGCAGCACTAAGTGAACACCTGTCCACTGCCTTTCGGAGCACCATCCACGAGTTTTCTCGAGAGATTGACGGCACCGAGCAGCAGCTGGAACTGGGCCGACTCTGCCTTACCCAGGCCAACAAACACTTTGGCATGGCTCTGGGGGCTCTGTTTGTCCAGCAGCACTTCTCTTCCCAAAGCAAGGCCAAGGTCTGAATATATGCAGATTAATGGTTGGAGGGCTGTCGGGGTCATGGTGTGGCTGTCTAAACCCAACAGTCACTCTATGTGTTTCACTGTCAAACCTTTCCCACCTGGATAAGAGAAAAAGATTTTGAGAATTACAGAGTTTAAAAAGCAGGATTGAACTAACTTAAATACTGGAGGTTTTTATTTACTTTTGGTTTGAAACCAGTCACACATAGAAAGTGAAAATGAATGAAGGGATAATGTACCTTAGTCAATAACCTGTTTACCTAAAGGTGTAAAAGCCTCATTTTTAAATGAGTTGTTCATAAAGCTCATTGTTTACAGCTTCTCTGCTGTTGTTCCAAACCTCCACTTGAATTGGTGTTACTCCAGACAGTTGTTTGGAAAAGGCTCTAAAGAAATGTTTTAATTGTTCAGTAGTAGACAAAAATAGAGTCAGACCTGTCAACGGACATGACAAAAGAAACAGGCCTAACCAAGACAAGTGTAAAACATCTGAGCTTTGCCTGCAGCTACTTCTCACATCATGAAGTCAGAATACTAACACTAACACGGTTTTTGTTGTATAAATTAACTTTACCAAGCAATTTTCATTCCTATACATTCCTGAAGAAGAAGAAGAAAATATCATTTCTATAGCGCCTCTCAAGATAAAAATCACGAGGCGCTTCACAAAAACAATAAATAAATAAAAAGTAAAAATATAAAAAAGCATTTAGAAAATGTTTAAAATTATATTTAAAATGAGCAAAAATAAGCTATTGCAATTTAAAAGAAAAATTTTTAAGAAAGAGAGAGAGTGAATAGGAAAGAGGGAAATCAGTGGATCCTGAGGAAGGTGGAATAGGTGGGGAGAGCAGAATAAAGAGAGAGTGGTTGAAGAAGGTCATACAAAAACCAGCTTGAACAAGTGAGTCTTCAGCTGCTTTTTAAAGGAGACCACTGAGTCCACTGATCTCAGGCTCAGGGGGAGAGAGTTCCAGAGTCTGGGGGCCACAGCAGCAAATGATCTGTCACCTTTGGTCTTTAGTCTGGTGCTGCACAACTAGTAGGCTTTGATCACTGGACCTCAGGGACCTGCTGGGGGTGTAGGGACTAAGAAGATCACCAATGTAAGATGGTGCTTGTCCATGTAAGGCCCTATATACCAGAACCAGGATCTTGAAATGAACCCTGAAGTTGACTGGTGTGCACCTCCCTTTTCTGGTCTAATTCCTCCCACACCAAATTCTGTGGCTGGTACAGATGAGGCTGAAAGAACATGCTCATCCTTGTGATTTTGGCTCACTGGAAAGAAAGGATACAAAACAGTATAGATGGGCTGAGTGAATAGAAGTTGGAAATGTCCAAAGTTCCTGTTTGTGATGTCACAAAAAGGGAAAGTAGATTAGAATAGGGTGACCAGACATCCCGCTTTGTGCAGGACAGTCCCGCATTTTCATTACTTTATCACACATCCCGTAAATTGAAACTTACGTCCCGCATCATTGACAGTCTCCCATTTCGACTTTCAGTCTTGCATGAACTGTGTAGAGAAAGCTACCTGTTCCCGTCAAACTAGGAGGCGGGACTTTAACCCAGGTCCGGATCGTTTGGAGCGCGCACACGAACCACCAATCTGAAGCGTCAGTGAGGACGGAGGACAGATGAGCGTGGTGGCGAAAATGCTGCTAGAATAAAGACTCGTTGGTTAAAAGTGTGATGTTTCCCAGAGTACAGTTTTTGTGTCACGTCGAATAGAACGGAGCAGGAAGTCAGAGTCACACTGATCATGTTGGTCAAAAGCAGGTTTTCTAGTAATTAGACAGAAGAAATAATGAGAGAATTAAATAGAAGTCTTTATTACTCATTCTCAGAATTTAGAAAAAATAAAGTAACTCTAAGGAACTCAATTATTAGATTAGATCTGATTGTTTTTTTTCAGAGATTGAAGTCAGTAATATTTTTTCTTCAACTAAATATCTACTAGAGATTTGTTGTCATTAAAAAAATCTATTTTGTTTCTAAATTAGGAAGAAAAAATGGTTAAAAAGTGTGGATATTTTATCAGTGGGATGCTGATTTTAGTGGAAAATTAATTCAAAATAAATAAATGAATCTAAAAAAGTTACTGGTACTTTTACTGGCATTCTGTTGTAGAAAATGTGCAATGAAAACTCAGAAAATTTGCTTAAACTTGCATTTTATTGTGAGCCTATCTATATTCATAAAATGAGTTGAACGTTTAAAATAAGTTTAGCTAAAGTAAGTCAGAGCCACTGTAGAGCGCCCAGAGAGCCTGAGTTATGCCACGGTAACCGGAGAGGAACTTAATAGTAAAGTTTGCTTGTTCAAGCTGAATTCAGTAGGATACAAGGTGATGGTAATTGCTTTATTTAAGGGTGATGTTAGAGCTAAAAGGCAAAAAGATTTTTTTTTTTACTTTATCTCATTGCATTGGAATCTCACATTGTCCCACATTGAGTAGCCTCTGTCCCACATTTGACAAGTTGGGAGCTGGTCTCCATGGATTAGATCCACCTCTCACGTGCAAGATAGGCCTGGTGCTTGAACAGCAGTAGTTCCACTCCAAGCCCCTCCCAGAGAGAGGAATTTCTCAGCTCTTTGACCCTTTCATGTCAAGCTGCTCATGGACCCGCCCCTTTGCCATGATGGATGGCACAAAGACCGTTTACACCATAGACTGGTTTACACCAAGCCCCATAATTCAGGTCCGGAAATGAAGCAAAACAGGAAGTGAAATAAATTGCAGTTCCACCCTCATCCACTAGGGGCTGGTGTCAGACGCGAGTAAATCCTCATTGACTCCCATGTTAAAAATACCAATTTCACAGCAGAAATAAACATGTTTACAGCGTGGTACCAAAACATGTTTTAGGTTTAAATGATCTAGTTTACACTCATGACAACTCGGGGGGGGGGGGGGGGGGGGGGGGTGAATTTTTTTCTCACTCTTCTGTTTAAGTGTATTAAATTCCTAAAATTCTGTATAATTAATGAGCATCAGGTCCACGTGACCACAGAGCTAGCTCCGGGGAAAGGCCTCAGTAGAGCCTCGGTCTGGCCTGGAAACTGCTCCACCATTTTCAGTCTCTCAACTTAGACCAGTAGTTGTAGCGTTTGTGTATTCTTTTTTGGATATTTTTTGTGCAATTGTTGGACAAAATGACTTGCTGTGGCATTAATTGCACTAATAGAGTGTCCAAGGAGTCTCCACTTCATTTTTTTCAGTAAGTAAAATTATATTTATGTATTTTAGGTCACTTCCACTCTTGCACTAGCTGAGCTTAGATTTTAACATGTACTGTTTAACCATGACATTTAAATGTAATACGGTAAAACCCAGTGCATTTAACATAACACTGCATTTTTGAAAATGGGTTGAAATATGACATGTTGGTGGAGCTGGGTTCTGACTATCGGTATGGTCCCCTCCCCTCAGCGGCAGCTCTGCGCATCTCTGATCGCCGTGGCGCCTGTCTGCTGCGCGGCTGCCGGCTTGTGGAGCTCTCGGGAGACCTCTGTGTTCCACCCGGTTCTCCCCAGCGGTCAGCCCGGCGTATCTCGGACTCAGAATCGCCGGTGTTGTGCACAGTTAACTCCGGTTGTAGCTAGATAGCTACCTCCGTTAGCTTAGCTCCCACTTCCGCATTATCTTTGCGTTAGCTTGTAGCTACATCGCTTCAGTTCGACGGGTGTCGTCATTTGACCCCAGCCTTACAGCCCCACCCTCAGCTCCAACTCTTTTCCCTTTTGTGGAATTGTCTGGGCTTGACGGAACCTGTGACACGGTCAAAATGGCGGTGGTGGCCACCTCCCATTTTGGCACAAAAACTTATAATTGGAGCCTATGGAAACCCATTGTCCAGTATATATGTCGATGGTTTACACGCATTGAAACTTCTGTGAACGTAAGCCAGTTTGTAGCTCTTTATCGCTTTTATTTAGTGAACTTCACAGTAAAATGGTAACAGACAAGCATGTAAAACTCAACTTGTTTTTTTTAATAACTTTGATGGAAACGGGTGGAGATGAACTGCAGCAATCAATCAAACATACTAGCTCTCAAAGTATTTTGGAATTTGCAGCAAACACATTTTACGAGGTAAAATTAAGGTTCATATATTTCATGAGGAAGACAGGGACTGACTGGGATGGAGCTTAAATGATAAATTTGATGTGTTTATATTTCTTATTTAGTGTTGATAATCCTATATTTCAACATGAATGATGTGCTGTGCTGTCCAATGTAGTGAAATGCGAGCTAATTATAATAATAATGTTTCAATGTAGGATTACGCGTGTTAAATTTACGTCATTTATTTAGTATGATGAGCGTAGGCGTGAAGAGATATCTTGTCTCATACCGGTGTGTGAGTAGCATTTGAACCCAGTTACCCCGCCAGCGGCAAAATCCGGTAGGGATCCAGACCTTTTGGGTGCTTTGGTGTAAGGATCGACAGGGGCAGCGTTCAGAAGATTATTTTCATATCATCAGAAGTGTCTTTGATGCTTTTCAGTCATTACCTTCAGTTTCATAATGCTCTCAGCTAGGGCTGTCGCGGTAACCGCAAAAATGAAATATCGCAATATGAAGAAGCCCACCGCGCTGCATCATGGGCCACCGCGATTACTGAACTTGATTCAACTCAATGATGCATGTTGAGAAGGATGGCTGCACTGGTATCAAAACGAAACATTACTTCGCTCCTTTGGGAGCACTTTGGTTTTCAGTACGTCAGCTGCTGCGCAGCCAGAGTCCTTGGCCGAGACAGAGCTGCCACCAGCGGCAAAAAAATAAATAAATAAATAAATAAACGCTCGGAGACCTGCTGAAGTCCCGGACAAGCACTGCTTCTGCAGCCGTCCTGAAGAGAGTTTGAGCCGAGCTGGAGCTCACTCGCTACCTGCAGGAGGAATGCATCGACCCTAAAGAAACCCCCCTGACATGGTGGAGCAACAACCGGGAGAGATTCCCTTTGCTCGCCAGTCGCACGCAAGTACGTGTGCGTTAGTGCAACGAGCGCACCATCCGAGAGGGTTTTCAGTGTTGCTGGAAATGTTGCCACCCCTCTCAGATCCTCTCTCAAACCGTATATGGTTAACATGCTGGTTTTCCTTGTAGGTAACAAGGACGTGACCGAGCTATAAAGCACCGTCATTCGTGTGTGTGAAAGTGAAATGATAGTGCGCCCGCCCCCCGGCGCGCACGCGCCCGGTACATGTAATTTTTTATGCTTGATTTTAAACAACTAAACAAAATGGGGACTTGTTTCTTATTTGTTAGATGCTGCAGCCAAATTTGCATTTAAAAGTTTAACCTTCTCCTGAATTTTGTTGTTTTTAAGTTCAGTCGGACTCCGACTGTCGGAGAAACAAACGTTACTGCGATCTGTGTTGTTACTGCCCTTTGATCTGCATTCAGTAAAGTGTTATTGAAGAAGGCACGGCAATTTTTAACCTTTTTTAAATGTGTAAACATTATGTTTAGATAGTACTGCAATAAAAAAGGGCTGCAATAATATCGCACACCGCAATATTAAGCCACCCTGAATCACCACGGGGGAATTCCTCAACCGCGACAGCCCTACTCTCAGCCTGGTCAGTAACAACAACAAACCCTCCCAGTGCTGCCCTTTGGTCCTCATACTTACCAGTAAACTCCCTCCATATGAATTCCTATCTTAGTTCTATGTCTCGGGGATATGGATCCCAATGGGGATTTGAACCTTTGTAACCCTGTGCTCTTTTGTTAAGCCATCTGCCTTTCGCCTCCCTTCCAAACTACTCCTAGCGTCAAGCGTTTTGCTTTCAGACCATGACCAAAGCTCTGAACTAGAAAGCCTAAAGCTTGTTCGGCATAGCAATGAACCTAAAGATGGAGGATTTCTGTGGTTGGGTCTTTACCAGCAGGAGATAAACAGAGTACCACCAAACCTCACAAAACATCATCCAGACAGCGGAGGAACTGAGAAGTGGTCTGTGGTCTCCACCTGCACAACCACTCCTTTTGGGGATGTCTTGCAAATTGTCTTTCATTTCCACCGGCTGTCTTTTCCACTTGCACAACAGCAGTGAAGCTGATTGTAAATCAGTGTTGCTTCCTAAGTGGACAGTTTGATTTCACAGACGTGTGATTGACTTGGAGTTACTTTGTGTCGTTTGTGTTCTCGTTGTTTTTCTGAGCAGTGCACTTCAGGTCACTAGATTTGTGTGTAGCCTTTACAGATTCAGTGATGCTGATACCTCAGCGCCAACAGGAATTAATGACCCTCAGGGGCCGAAGCTGACAGACAGAAGGCATTACTTACTTGCAAGTGCAAAAATATAACAACAACACCATTTAGTCATTTAGAAGCGGCAACAGTTCATGAATAATTACTAAAAAGCTATTTTATGGTTGGACACCATGTCAATATAAATTTATTTATCCTTTATTTAGACTTATTTACGTTTTGTTCAAAGTATCCAGTGACGCTGATGACAAATTATTTTGTTGTTGCTTTTAACATGTTTTTTTATTTCCTTCAGTATTTCATGTGTTGTAATTTTAAGTGTTCTAAACTAAATAAGTAAATGAAATGAATGTGAAAAACACTTATCTACTGAAACTCTGGTTAAAGTCAGTGTGTCCAACAGATTTGCAGTACCGCTAATAACAGCACACTCATGGGAAACGCTGTAACATCCTATTTCCTTAATGTTTGAACTCATTGCCTTTTGATGTGCTCACCCTCCAGGTACAAGAGCTGGTAGAGGACGTAAAGCACTCCCTTGATCTTCGGCTGCTGGAGCTGGACTGGATGGATGAAGCCACCAAGGATGCTGCCAGAGCTAAGGTTAACAACCAAACTGAGCTTCAGCTTAACAAACATGGATGTCTTCCTGATCCGATTAGTATTTGCAAAGGATTTATTCATTTTTTTGTTATTCTTTACTTTGGAGGAGTTTGATTAATGCTCAGTTAGATAGAAGTGTGATAGAGTACAAAAAGGCCTTGACATTGAAAAGTGAGGCTAGCGTAATCCTGATCTCTCTGTGGTGCTGATGATTTAGGGTCTGCACTGCAAGATATCCCTTCTAATGCTTTCACAATCTAAAGTCATAATCCTTTTAGGGGGGCATGCTGAATATAAAGAGCCTCCCTGTAATCCTATTATATTTGGTTGGCCTGATTAGCTGATGAATGTGTGAGTGTGGGTCCAAAACCAAGAATGAATGTGTGTTTTCTGTCACCACAAATGAATGTGGGATTATTCTGGACTGGTCATGCTGGTTCACCTGCATCAGCTTTTTCTTCTCTCCTTCTTCCAGCTCAAGCACATGATGGTGATGACGGGATACCCAGACTTCCTGCTCAAGCCTGAGCTCATTGATCAGGAATACGGGGTGAATCACGACCCTTTTACTTTACTCTGAGCCATGCAGACATCATAGTCTCACACACAAGTACACGGGCATCATTCATAACAATCATTCCTCCCAGAATACCGTCTTTCTCTTTGGCTCTAGAAGGATTTATCAACAGACATAACCACGCAGCCTCTAGGATGGAATTCAAATAGAAGAGATTCTGTAATACACAGAGTGGTGATGAAACTGTAGAATAAAGAAGTAGATCATTTATATGGGGTTTGTTGATCCAAACACCAAGTGCAAATAAAAGGAAGCCCAAATAGGAAATGAAGAGTCTCTTGATAGATAAAGTCCATGATTGTTGATGCATGGCTCTGCACTGAGATTCTGTCTTAAGACCAAGAAAAACTAATGTTTTGACAAAATCTGGAAAAATGGGCAGAAGTCTAGCACAGCATACAGGTAGTACACATTAGGGCCCGACTGATATGCTTCTTTTGGGACCGATACCGATATAAAACATTTAACAAAGGCCGATAGTCGATATAATGGCCGATAAATCTCCCTCACAAAAAAAATAAATAAAACTTTTCTTAAGATTAATCCCTTCATTCGCTCCCTTTTTGAGGCAAACTTATTTCTCTATTACACACCAAAGAACTGTCTCAATAACACACTCGGGTTTCCAAGTAATGCAAATAAGATTTATTTAGCAGATCTCAAACACAACAGAACACACAAACTCAGTTACAGCATAAATCTAGCATTCAAGTTTTTTCTTTTAAACTGTGGTTTCTACAATTACATTTTAACTTAAAGGAATATTCCACCACTCAGTAAAATTGTGTCTTGTTAAGATTCCCCAGAGTTAGACAAGTCAGAAAAAGCCTTTTATAACCTGCCCAATATGATCTGGCAGCAGTTGGTTTTCTTAGTTTAGCATAAAACAATGTAAGTGAATTCACACACACACTGTAGTGTTTTTTATGTAGGTGAATGCAAGCCTTCCCTTCCATTGCTTTATGCTAAAACAACTGGCTACAATATGTTTTTTCTGACTTGGCTAACTCGGGAATCTAACAACACACACAAGTTTATGGACAGAAGATCCCTATAAGAATATTAAAATAATAAAAATGCAGCAATAAATAAAACGTAATACTTGTGCTTCGTAACTAAGTAACACTCTGTGGAAGTTAACTTGGTGAACTTATTCACCCTGGACAGGAAATAATTGCACATAAGAAACATAAATAAGAAAAATTTAAAAAAAAAGTTCCAAAACAATTATTTGTGTTCAAAGTTCAAAGGAGTAGAGCCACAAAACATCAGTTCATGAAGCTGGCGCCATCTGCTGGATAGGTAGTGCAATATCGGACGTCTTTTTGGCCGATGGCCGATACTGTTAATGACCGAGATATCGGCCGATAATATCGGAGGGAGGATACACAAGGGGTGTTGTGAGTGGTCCGTGACCGTGTTTGCATTCAAAACCTCAAAATCTCCTGTAGATTTGCTATAGCAGCTTTATGCATGCATGACAGGAGATAAGTGATGTTAGTGACCTAAAATGTTTTAGTGATTATTTTACATGAGAGGGGGGGGCAGCATATATCTGTGTTTCTATCAGCATCGGAAATTAGCAGCCAACAATATCTGCATATTGGAAAACGGTAAAAAAAGCCATATCGAACATCCCTACTCTAAATGAAAGGAGAGCGTACGTTGTTCTTTTGGGCATGGTTGTAGTCTCGTAGGAACAAATGCCTACGTAACATTTTGTAAGTGGTCAAAATTAATAAACAGTCAATAAAATATAGAGATATTCAACTAAATATAATGTTCTTCGAACTTGATAATAGAGGAAGTGTGTCCCTCTTTTAAGGGTCCATGTTGGACCAATCAGAGGTCAGAAAATGTGTTACCAACGTCTCCTGACATCACATCTGTTGCTATGAGACCAGTAAAGGAGTATTTCACTTATTGAGTGATCTAAATATGTTATATTTGTCATTGTTAAGATACTGATATAAAAATGTGACATGATTGATAATAAAAATCATCATTAACTCATCAAGTAGATTAGTTTGGTGTATTTAAGACCTGAAATCATGCATTTCAACAATAAACAGTTACTATGATTCATTATTACTGTAAAGCAATCAACTCTTATTAATTTCACTTTAGATAAAACATTCATTGGTCTTTGATTGTAATTATTCTGTAAAGAGAGAAAATCATTGTATAAAACAGAACATGATTTTTTATTAAGGTTAAAACGTTCCGTCTTCTTCTGTGAGACTTGTGACTTGCAGGCAGCGATAAGCAGGAGAGGGATTTTGTTGTGACGCTTTCCCCAGATGGCCATGGCTAGAGATGGTTATAAACAGGCCTTTGTTTTGGTTTAGAGAAGCACACAGCTTCTCTGGCAAAGTGAAGATGGCTGTGGGTGGTGTCATGACCTTTGGCATTACTTCTGCCTTTCCAACACTACACCTATTATATGTACACTAATTTTAACCAGACGGCTTAAAAATGGACAGAAAATGACTGAAAGATTATAGGAAAGTCTATTTTGTTTAACCCCTCAGGCTCAAAATAAGTTTTTATAAAAGGACGAACAACTAAGTCCTTCAGGGGTACTTCTGAGTTAAAAAATCTCATGAGATACGTATGTGGAGTAACGCCTGCCGCCAGAGGGTTAAAGAAAAACAATGAGAAAATCAGAAGCAGATTCAGGCTTAAATTTTGAAAAGTCTTGATGTCTGGGTTACATAAATGGATGTTTAAAAGTGTAAACCTATTTACATGTTTGTTTATTACCTTAGTCTATACAGTTTCTTTAAAATCCCCACATCAGTCAGCTACAATTTGGGATTTAGCCAATCATGTAGGGCACGATTGCTCTCCTTTTGATTGGCTGGAAACTTTAAACCCAGAGACACAAATGCTTGTTTGGACATGAAAAAACACACATGTATAAAAAATTAGCAGCAATTTAAGAAATACAGTAAATATGATATCTAATAAAATGAAGGACCAGTGTTTTTTGAGTTAATACAGATTGGAAAACTTTAGTTAGCCCTAATTAAACTTTAGCATTAGCACATAGAAATTAATTACTGTTGACAAAGTATAGTAGCTAATGGCTCAGTAGCTTATGGGAGCATTAGCAACAATATAACTAATATATTTCATCTAAAGGCAATCATAAACTCTTATATCGTTTATCATGCTTTAATTAAGATTTTCATCCTTTTACTTCAACCTATTATTAACCTCCTGTACACGGAGCTAGTTATAGAGGGAACTACTGCAATTCTTCTATGTCAAACCTTTTTATGAGAATTCAAGCTTCATCTGCACAAACACTGACTAAACCCAGAAAATAGTCACACCACATTTGACCTGTTACCTTTAGGACTGATTTTAAAATAAGATATTTTTCTTGTTTCTTATCCCAGAACTTTGGGCCTTCGGTGATAACTTTTTAACCCCTTGTAGACTTTTGTTGCATCAAATGAAACCAACTCTGGCCTTAAATCGTCCACACAGATCATCAGGATTAGTACCAGTGGCTGCGCCGGGGGGGGCGCTAGGGAGCGCTATAGCTACCCCTGGATTAGTCATTGCACCCCCAAGTAAATATTATTTTTTTTTAACAATTAAATTTTAATTTAACGTGTGGATGTGATAATATTTAACATACAAAACAAAAATAATCAGTAAATTATCATATAGATAGTAAAAACTTCAACCAAAACAAGAAATTGATGTTAACCTTTGACCTCATTTTCCACCTGCGAAGGAGTGAAAGGTAGAGCTAGTGGTAAAATGGATCGGGTTTTGTTGCCCACATTTCCACGGGTTCAGTCAGAAACGAATGAATCTTTGGAAGTGATCTCCGACCCACAAAAACCTACGGATCTGGATGAAGAGAGTCAACCCTCAACCGCCGCAGCAGTCGAGGGTTGTGCCGCTGGAAATGCTAACGCTAACGTTAGCTAACCTTGCAACACTATAGATGGTTTTCTGTGTGGCTGTATGTCTTTATGATTTCATGGAAAAATCTGTGATTGTTCATATGTTTATGATGTATATTAATGATTGTTTCAGGTGTTGTTGAGCTGTTGTGCACGCATGTGTATCTGCTAGTGTTGAAGGTGTTTTAGAGAACAGTAGGTACGCATGACCACTTCCTTCATAGCACCCTCAATAAACAGACTAGCTCCTTCATAGCACCTGCAGAAAAATATTTCTGGAGCCACCACTGATTAGTACCTTCATCAGAAACCTGCCATATGTGGTCCTGGACAGGTCTGCTGCCCCCTGGTGGAGGATCTGCAGGTGGAAAAGGCCAATTTCATGTATTAATTTTTAGGACAGGAACAGCAAATTAATGGAAATAGGGCCTCATGGGTTCTTTTTAATTTTTTTAAAGTCCAAAACAGAATCTCACATTATTTCCTCATATCAGCAAGTAGGAAAAGATCCACTGATCTTGTTTTGGTGAACTTTGTTGAACTCCAGACATAAACAAACACCGTCCTTCATCCTCCTGCTCCACTCACTGACGTTATTCCTCCTCGCCTTTTGTAGATCTTAAACACAATAACACCTAATTCAGCACAGAAACATTTGTTTTATTTTGTTCTTTAAAAAGAGACGAGTAAAAATAGTTTACTGATCCATTAAATGCACTCAGTGTCCTGCAGAACCACTGTGCCTTGTTATATTTGTGAAGTTAAATTAAGTTTATTAAATTGTGCATTCTCTTGCTACTGAGTTGTTGAATTATTTTCTTAACTTCATAACTACGTTTGGGTGTATGTAGTTTTCATAGAGTCCTACACACGCAAGACAAAACAACACTGGAATTACCAAAAAGGAAAAAACCCAGTAGGTCCAAATACATGGAGTTTTACACTGTAAAATGGTGCTCTCAGTAAATAAGTACTAATCCTATCTGTGTAAATCATTTTAATTATGGATCATTTTCTCTGTGCATGTTTGTGTCAGTTCTACGTAACAGAACATGGTTTCACGTTATTGAAGTCGAACTTCAGGTTGCTTACATCCAGGTAAACGTTGCATATTCACTCACTTCCTGTGTGTTTTCCAGTTTGAAGTGAACGAAAAGACCTACTTCAAGAACATCCTCAACAGTATCAAGTTCAACATCAAGCTGTCTGTCAAGAAAATATACGAAGAAGTGGACAAGACGGCGTAAGCATCGGCTGTTCCCAGATAACGCACAAGCCACGTAACCCCCACCACCGCCACGTGCTGCGCTGCCAGCCAAACCCTGATCTGAGATCTGCGCTGAGCTCATGCAGCCGACGTCCCTCGCTGCAGTTACACTACTCTAAACGCGTCTCTGTAATGTGTTTGACATGCCTAACATGTGTCTCTGTGAATCTCATTTAGCTTGTCACATTTGTTGAAGTTTCCCCCCCAAATTTTACAAACAGATACCAAATCAGCATAAACAGCTGCAGAAAATCCATTTGATGTACTTATCTGTAGCAGCCAGGCAGCAAGAAGAGTGCTGTGGGACATACGGTTCATTTTTCTAAAGTACAGCCCTCTACGCCTGGATGGAGTGCCTCTCCGTTATGACAACGCATTACAGTCACATTAGTATTCCAAGGTGCTCAAAACAACTGTATCATTAGCCCACACTTGATGCCCCGAAGAGTTAAATCACACTTTCTCTCTTTATCACTAAAAAGTGAATGATTCATCACTCAGTCTGCCTTAAAAAGATAGAAACTCTCCTGCTTCTCTCCCGTTTGTCTCCCGTCTGTCCCCGCACATACATCAGTCTTTCACTCCCAGAATAAAGACGCCTCGCTCTGTCACGTGGGGGATCTCACGCCAGTCGACTGGACTGGCTTTAAGTGGATTAGCATAAAGGAACCATGAGTGTTTTCATGTTCAGAGAAGAACTTTGGCCCTGCGTCTTACAGAGTGAATATCTCAGCGGGGGGTTTAGTGGAATTAGATGGAAGTGTTTGGGAGTCCGCGCACTGCTCGGGTGTGTTCTGAGCAGATAGATGGGTGATTTAAGAGTGTGTGAGGGATCTCGTCTCTAAAATCGTGTCTGATGCTGTTTTTTTCTCCTCAGGTGGCTTCTCCCCCCACAGGCTCTTAATGCCTACTACCTCCCTAACAAGAATCAAATGGGTGAGTGCATGACTCTTCATTGTCCAAACTGATATTAGTGTCTGTTGCACACAAACACATGCACACACTAACACTTGCAGGCACACTAACACACAAACACACACACACTAACACACACACACGCACACAGAAATTCTCTCCTCTGTTTCCGTTTTGCACCACATGAAAATGGTCCAGTTGTGTGTATCAAACACACAATTGGACCGTTTTGCAGTCAGTTTGCAGTAAGTCAGGAAACAAAACAACAAAACATAAGCAGGAAAGAAGGCATCATCTACCTCCTCATACCTAATTCCTTGTGACAACTCACTTCCTGCTACGGTCTCCACATCACATTCTCACTCCTGCCCCCCCAGGAGCTAAAACAAGCAGTATCACCTTCTTAAGTTTTAACAGTTCCAGCCTTGAGATGTCAGCCCTCCTCTCGCTCGTCGGTGTCTGCTGGATTAAATCTCTTCCACATAAATCACTGGCTGGTGCTGGACGACAGAACCTGTTAAGCAAACACGGTCATCAGGACATCAATAGTTTTAATCCAGACACCTTTATTTCTTCTCTGAATTTATTTTCTTTGGTCATCAGCCTTTTTCAGCCTCTATTTATAGTTTATTCTTATTTCAGCCTTAAATTCAGGTTGCTGTTAGGACTAATTCCATGCTTTCGTTCTTTTTAAATACAGAAACAGTTTTGTTTACCAGTTTTGTAGCCACAGTTTCGCCGTTGGCGAAATCTGTCATTCAGTCTGGTTACCTTGGCAACGTGGCGTGTGTGATCGGGAAGCAGAGGAGGTTCTGGGGGGTTCTCGTAGTTGTAAAATATGAAGTGGAATTGGATTTGTGTGGTTTGTCTAGCACTCCACAAAGGGTCCCAAATCACAGCGTAGCTCCAGATGGATTTCCTTCTAGATCAGTGCGCTCACGGAGCGCACGTGTTCCCTCCAGGGAGCACACTCCACCAAATCCTCCAACACTGACCAGCCATGATATGATGTCAGATTCCCGTTGGTCACAGGTGTCTTTTATTGGTCTTAGCACCATGTAGCGTGATGAATTGTCCATCTTTGACCTAAAGGGCCTGCTCTATTTGCTCTGCCCAAGCAGAAACACAAGTTTCTGACACAAGCCTGATCTACAAGATATGGGCCAAGGCCACTCATGCTCTGTGCTCTTATCTAAACTGTTGCTTCCCCGGACAGCACAAGAAGGAAGACCAAGAACTCTATTAAATAATAATCAAATAACTTTGTTAGTCCAAATAATCATGTGAAGCTAATGTTCAATCAATCTGTGAAATAAGAATATTACTTGATATTATAATCCTATGATAGTATTTTAATAAGTAATATAACTTTAAATATTTACACTATACTGATCACATGTAATGTTAAAATCACATGACACATTCCCTTTTGTGATCCAGTCAGAACCTTCCAGATCTGACGCGAGGCGTGGTTTTGTTGCTTCCAGATCTGACGCGAGGCGTGGTTTTGTTGCTTCCAGATCTGACGCGAGGCGTGGTTTTGTTGGTGTTTATTTTGTTGTCAAATTCTGATTCGACCATGAATCAAAACATCCAAATTATAAAACTATGCCCCACGTCATCTTAACTTCAGTTCAAAGCGCTCTAGAGAAGTTATCGGAGTGGCCAATCCGTAACTTTCCTCTTAAAGCCAAAAGAACCAACGACAAGCTGGATAAACTCTGTTGCATGTTCCACCTGCTGCAACGGTTCCTTCAGAATAAAAGCTGAACCATCATGGCCCCCTTCAGGGTCTCGCTAGATGCCAATAAAACTGTCGGGACCCGGAAGTATCTCAAGACGGGACTGGTCCGCAACTGCGGCTTTGCTACAGGCTTCGGTTCCAGACAAGGTCCAAGCTGGACCTCGATACCTCCTGATCTAAACGAGGGCTTCCATTGGGGTACGTAGACCGACAGATGGTGTCCCAATGTGTGTTATAATCTCCAAACCAAAGCTTAGAGCGAAACACCATTTCACTCCCGTTAGAACTTATCGTTTCTCCGAATCTGCTGGTTCTGAACATATTCACACACACACACCATCCTCAGTCTTACTCCACCTTAGTTACATCATACACATAGTATTTAAAGTTAGTCTTGTTTAATTTGTTTAGAAATAAATCTTCTAACTTTTTAAACCTGACTCTCTCTCTTTCTTGGAGTTCATACGAAGTGTTGCTCAATCCCTGCAATAAAAAGATCCGATCTTCTGGTTAACTTTACTCAAAGATCCATTAAGGTGATATCTCATATTTCATGATATTTTCTTTTTTATTTAATTTTGTCTAAAGTTTATTTTCATTTATTCACAATTAAAAACAAAACACAAAACAGGTTTGCGAAAACAAAAAAATGAAAAAACAAAAATGAGCAAAACTTATGTTATCTGTTCCCCTTAACCAAAATAAATACAAATGACAAGAAAGTTATTATAGTTAAAAAAAACTGTCTGACCTGGTTTACTGATTTAGCTTTGGCAAAAAATGGAGAGAAAACAAATATGTACACAATTTTTTTTCTTCTTATATTAATGAAAGGAGAAAACAAATAATGCAAAATAAAACACTCAAAAAATAATAGCTAAAAGAAACAAAGTGGAACATAAAATGTGTGTTTTCCCTTTCATTCTCTCTACGTCATAAATACGTCTATCTCATAGCATCATATAAGCTAAGCATTTCATTTTTAATATGTTTACTAAAGGTATATATTGTTTTGGTATTCTTGATTTCGGTACTTAATGTATTCCACATTTTGACTCCATATATTGATACATAACGTTCCTTTATATTTATCCTATGTTTTGGTATTGTGTATATTTTGCTGCCTTTCAAATCATAACTACTCTTTCTTTCCATAAATCTTACGATCAAATTTGTTGGAAGGTGCTTTTTGTCGACTTTATACATAAATTTCAAAATAGTATAATCTACTAGGTCGTAAAATTTTAATGTTTTTAATTTGAGAAATAATTGGCTGGATGGATCGCTGTAGTTGCTTCTTGTTATAATTCTTATTGCTTTTTTTGCAGGATAAAAACTGAATGTGTATAGGTTTTATATGTTATTCCCCAAATTTCAACACAGTAGCTCAAGTACGGTACGATCAATGAATTGTATAATAAATATAGGGATTTGTCATCTAGTGACCATTTCACTCTGTGTTGTATTGCAATTGATTTAGCTATTTTAGTTTTGATATTGTTTATATGTGGTTTCCAAGATAAATCCTCATCAATGATGACTCCCAAAAATTTAACTTCCTTTGCACTTTTAATACAGATTTCGTCTAATTTTTTTAACGTTTATAAACCATCTTTGTTCTCAGGTCATGTGAGAGTTGTTTTCAGGCCCCATGTTGCTACTCTTCAGAGAATATTCAAAGAGGACGGAAACTTTCTCATAACTGGATTCACCTGTGTATGGAGGTCAAAGGTCACTGAGCTTACAAACCAATTAGTAGTTCCAATGATTAGTCCTAAAGATTTTGGAATCAATAAAATGACAACTGTGTCCAAATGTATGCACCTGCATAATTTTTTTAAACAATTGATGCACATTTCTGTAAATCCTATAAACTTAATTTCACTTCCCAAACATCAATGTGTGTGTCTCCTATATGATATATTTAACTGACATTTTTTATCATAACAACTAACGATTTATACAGGAAAATCATGAAGATTAGCAAGGCTGCCCAAACTTTCACATCCCACTGAAGTTTTCACACCTTTAGTTTGATGTTCATGAAGAATGACCGTTAGCTCTCAGCCTAGAAACCTAGACCCACCGTAGCAGTAGCAATAGACTTTGTTCTGCTGGTCAGTCTAGCCATGCTCCACAGGAGCCTCAGCAGGTCTACAGTTTTAGGTCCGGCCAATCACAGCGCTCTACATTCGTAGAGAGACCTTGGGTGGGCTTAGCACCAGCATTGCAACGGGGGAAATTTGCAAGGATGGCGCCAGCTCAGGAACGGTGCTCATTTGTCAGCTTTGCACGATCTATACTTGGGCCTTGTTTTTTGTTCGGAGCAGATAGAGGTACTCGCGTCCTTTATTTAGAAAAAGGATGTATTTGCGTCTTCTTTAACGATGTATGGTGGGCTGCCCCATTGACTGACATCTATAACGGTGATTATGTCACGTTGTTTGTTGTCCAATAGCATGTGGAGACAGTTTGAAAGACAACTATATTTTTCACACCATGACCGAACTCTGTCTATGGGTTGTGGCCAGACTATATATTTACATTTAGGATGGCTTGCCAGGCTACTTATTTCTGTTAATGCTTAATAACTGCATTATAATCTGTGACCCGCTCCTTGGATGGTGCTCCTTAGGTTACCTCCTGATTTACCAATAACAGCTGACACTGAAACCAAATATTTTATTATTATGTGGATTTTAGGATCTTTTCATTTACATGAGGTTGGTCGTAAATTAAAGCACTGTTGTAGTTGGGTTCATATTGTGTGTTTGGACTTTTGAGATGATCTCCATAGATCTGTTGCTTTGTATAAGTGATACTGGATGAGCTGTCTCTGTTTTCACCACACCCATATTTATGTAGCTTTTAGTGATGATTAAATTCAGCATGGCCTGAGCTACCACATCTACGCAGATGACTGTCAGCTATACGTGGAAATGGACGAGAAAAATGCAGGCTCAAAATTGGCTGCATGTATGGATGACGTGAAGGGCTGGCTGGCATCCAACTTCTTAAAACTGAATGAAAAGAAGTCTGAGTTTATTGTTTTTGACCCCCGCAACCACCATGGCTCTCACCCTGTTTGTGACCTTTTAACCCTCAACCCCAAACAGTGTATGACGAGTCTCGGGGTCAAGCTGGCCCCACAGATAAACTCTGTTGTGAGGTCTTGTTTTTATCAGCTTCGCCGCCTTACTCACCTCAGACGAATCCTGAAACGGAGGCATTTGGAGTCAGTCATCCATGCATTCATTACCTCTCGCCTGGACTATGCAAACGCCCTCCTCATTGGTGTTCCAGACTCTGCCCTGAATCGGCTGCAGGTTGTTCAGAACACTGCTGCCAGGTTCTTGACGGGTACACACCGACGTAGCCACATTACCCCTGTCCTGGTACATCTTCACTGGCTCCCTGTCATTTTCAGAGTGCAGTTTAAGTTACTGACTTTTGTTTTTAAAGCACTCAATGACCTGGCACCTCCCTACCTCTCTGCCCTTCTCACTCCATATGTGCCCACCCGCTCGTTGAGGTCGGCTGACCTTTTGCTGCTGCACACGCCGCGGATGAGACTCAAATCGAGGGGGAATCGAGCATTTGTGCATGCTGCCCCAAAGCTATGGAACTCATTGCCCATTGGAGTTCGGCAGGCTCCATCTCTGGCGGTTTTTAAATCTCGTTTAAAGACCCACTTTTACACTTTGGCTTTTAGACAGTGACTCGTTTTAGTGTTTTATTGTGTCATTGTTTTAATGTGCTCTTAGTATTCATCATGTTTTCTCTGCTTTTAATTGAGATTTTTATCCTTTGTTTTAGCTCCTTGTAATGGGTGTGTTTTGTTTTAGCCTGTGCAACACTTTGGGCAGCTCCCATGCTGCATTTTAAATGTGCTATATAAATAAACTATGCTATGCTATGCTATGCTATGCTAAATTCATCTGGTGATGTTTGAGGTGGCAGGTCTCTATGTGGGTTAGGAAAAGCCTGGTTTAGCTCTGTGGCTCACACCTCTCTCCACTTGGGTGTTTAAATGAGGTGCAGCCACTTCTTTTCTGAGAGCAGTGGCGGCACCAGGGGGGCGCTAGGGGGCGCTATAGCTACCCCTGGATTAGTCATTGCACCCCCAAGTAAATTTTTTTTTTCAATTAAATTTTAATTTAACGTGTGGATGTGATAATATTTAACATACAAAACAAAAATAATCAGTAAATTATATAGATAGTAAAAACTTCAACCAAAACAGGAAATTGATGTTAACCTTTGACCTCATTTTCCACCTGCAAACGAGTGAAAGGTAGAGCTAGTGGTAAAATGAATCGGTTTTTGTTGCCCACATTTCCACGGGTTCAGTCAGAAACGAATGAATCTTTGGAAGTGATCTCCGACCCACAAAAACCTACGGATCTGGATGAAGAGAGTCAACCCTCAACCACCGCAGCAGTCGAGGGTTTTGCTGCTGGAAATGCTAACGCTAACGTTAGCTAACCTTGCAACACTATAGATGGTTTTCTGTGTGGCTGTATGTGTTTATGATTTCATGGAAAAGTCAGCGATTGTTCATATGTTTATGATGTATATTAATGATTGTTTCAGGTGTTGTTGAGGTTTTGTGCATGCATGTGTATCTGCTAGTGTTGAAGGTGTTTTAGAGAACAATAGGTGCGCATGACCACTTCCTTCATAGCACCCTCAATAAAAAGACTAGCTCCTTCATAGCACCTGCAGAAAAACATCTCTGGAGCCGCCACTGTCTGAGAGCCACTGGGTGTGAACCCTTCAGGGTTCTCCCCATGGAGTCTCCTCTCCATCGCTGACAGTAAAACACGTTGATTTACATCAGAAGCTGCTGTACGATCATAAAACCTTTTTCCTCACCATGTGAATGATTTGCTGCTTGTCTGACAGCTTTGTGCCTCCTCTGGGTCACGGTTGGGTCTGCTGCTCTCTAGCTTTCCCTAAATGTATGACCTGAAGCTTTTGACAGACCAACTCTAATGACTTGATTGCATCTAAATATTTATTTAGCTTTGTCATAATCTCATTAATCATGGCAGCTTTAACATTTCACTGTAATCCAGGGCAAAAGAAGGGATGTGCTATTTGTATTAAGGAAACAGATTTGAACCTGACTAAGCTGTATTGTGGTGTAGTAGTTTACTATATTGAGTCGTTATAATCAGTCTACAGTTGAAGAACTGAGAATCAAACGCAGATTGTCAAAACTTTAGAAGCTGTGAACACTGTCAACAACTGACATCCTGTAAACAAGTGTTCCTGATAGAGATATCTGCTGATTTGAAGCTGGATTATGGTGATTCCACTCAACCACACCTGTCCTCCACCTGACTGTTTGGATCTGAGGGAGAGGTTGAAAGAAAGAAAATGATCTTTTATATAGCGCCTCTCAAGATAAAACTCACGAGACGCTTCACAAAAACAAAAAGAATTAAAGTACAACAAATATTTCAAAATGAATAAAATAATGTTTAAAGTAGGGTTGGGCATCGAGCAACGATTGGAACCGATTCCAACAGTTCATTTTTCCCGGAATCTTTCAAAGTTTTTTATTTCGATTCCTAGAATGCTGACCGGAAGAGGAGCCCACGGCCGATCTCTGTGAAAAATAAATGAGATCTGCAAATTGTGATCAACGCTTTTCAGAGCTGATCACACAAGCTGTCTGTGTGCAGCACGAGTCCCCCCTCCCCCCACCCGGATATAAACAAACGCGTCTGCCGGACTTTTACTCCGTGATGTAAACTTTAACTCCTGTAGAGGAAACTTGTTAAATACGTCAACACGGTGGATTTAATAGAAGCTTTAAAGAACAAACTCTGGACGGTGTGAGGTGAGTTTGTCTCACTGCAGAAATAAAAACACACACGGAGCATCAGCAGTCAGACGCAGCCAGCGACATTTAAGTTTAACTTTCTGTTCTGACTGAATGCTGCAGCAGCATGGAGGTGTAGTTCTCAGTCATCCTGGACATGATCATCCTGAGTTTTAGCTGAAAACAGCTGGACGTTTCTGGATATGTTGGAGACATTTAGCCTCTCATCCCAGAGGATTCTTCCAGACTTTGGTTGTGGTCAGAAACAAACACACTGGTTGTGCTGCAAGTCTTTTTCTTTTTTCCTCCTAAACGTGTTTTTGTCTAAATGAAGGTGATGTTGTTGTTCATAGAATTAAAATTCATGTCGAAGTTGAGATTATTTCATCCAGTAGGACCTGTGGTTAGCTGGCTCATGTAAAACATGTCATGGCTTGAAAGAATCGGAATCGGGAATCGATAGGAACCGGAATCGAAACAAGGAATTGGAACTGGAATCTGAATTAGAATCATTCAAAATCAAGCGATACCCAACCCTAATTTAAAGTGAGAAAATGTTTAATTTGTGAACTAAATAAAATACGGAAGGAAAGGGAGAGAGAAAATGAATAGGAAAGAGGGAAATCAGTGGATCCCAGGAAAGGCGAAATAAGAGCAGAATAAGGAGAGGGTGGTGAGGAAGTTCACACCAAAGCCTGAACAGGTGAGTATTCGGCTGCTTTTAAAGGAGACCACTGAGTCCACCAATCTCAGGCTCAGGGGGAGAGAGATC